ATTACTAGTTTATATACCTCCTTTAATATTTATAAAAGCCTACTACCTTAACTAAGCCTATCCTTTTTACTAGGAATAATACCTAGAGAAAGTAATATTACCCTAGGGTTAACTAAAATAGAAACCTCTAGACCTCTAAGAAGAGTCCTTATCCCTATAAGGCCTAGGAAAACTAGCTTTTAGTTCTAGGGAAGGGAGGTTATAGAGTTCCTAGATAACTATAACTACTAGGTAGAAAATAGAGGGCTAGATAAAGTAGATTAGCTAAAAATTCTACTAGACTTCTATAATACTATATATAGAACTTTTGTAAAGAAGCTTAGACCCTACTAGAAGCAAGACTAGGAGGAGCTGCAGGAAGCTATAAAGGAGCACTAGAGGGACTAGGATATAGCCTAAAGGATAGGTACCTAAACCTTCCTAGATATATATATATAAGAAGCCTCTAGAAACTTCCTAGGTCTCTTAGACTACTATACTAATTTTATAGTGTATAGTAATACCTGCCTAGTATCTAAATAGCTATATAAAAGCAAAGTTAGATTCTTCTTCTTTAGAGGGTTACCCTAGGTAGATAAAGAGCTAGTCTTGCTTAGTATACTAGGAGGGCCTAATAGTAATAAGGTAGCAAGCTATAAGCTAGAGAAGATCTATACCTATATTAAAAGAATCTATTAGTAAAGAGAAGGAATAAAATATATATTAGCTAGCTAAATAGAGGAAGATACTTAGTAGGTATATTAGATATTAGAATTAGTAAAAGCTACGCCTATAAAGGAGGAAATTATAGAGGTAGTAAAAGGTATTAAAAAGGAGCAAGCTACTACCTAACTACTACTAAATATTAACCTAGAAATAGACTAGTTAATTAGGGTACTAGGAAAAATAAAGATAAGTTTAGCTAAGGCTAATAGGCTATAGGAATACTACGTAATAGGCCTGCTACTAAAAAGCCTAGTAAACTAGCTCTACTTTATTTTATATATAACTAACGCTAGAATAGAGTAAGGAATATATTAGAATACTATAGTAATTAGAGGGTTACTAATAAACTAGCTAAGAACCTAGGGCCCTATATAAATATTAACTACTTAGCTAGGGCTATAGAGTTATAGGGGGTATAATAAGAAACTACCTACCTATAATATATATAGATTAGAAACCTACCTAGTAAAGGACTGCCCCCCCTAGCTAGAACTTATAGCACTAGGGTAGGTAAGCACTTCCTAGAATCTAGAAATAAGGACTAGGATATTTTACTATAGACTATTATATAAAAGACTAGGGTAGGTTACTAAGCTAGCACTATAGAACTATACTCTTTACTAGATAAAGAAAAAGTTATATAAATACTATAAAGTTACTAAGGATATCCTTAGCTAGCTAGTATTATAGGTTAAGCTAGAACTGTTTAATAGAATAGATTTAAGAGGCTAGTAGTAGAGGTAGACTTAAGGACTAGACTACCTAGTAGTAAAAAGAGCAGGAGCTAACGCAATATCTTCCTAGAATTAAGGATTAGAACTAGTAGGTGCTTAAAAAGAATATAAGTAGTTCTTAAACTATTAAATACTATAAACTAATAAGGAAGACCTAGTAGTAATAACGCTAGATTATATAGACTTAAGATATATTATCCTAGGATTAGTAGATAAGAATATACCTAGGATCTACGCCTCTACAAGGGAGAAAGAAAAGCAAAGGGACTAAGTCTTAGAAGAAGTAAGGACAGGATTAATCTAGAAGCGCGGGTAAGGAAGACTAGCATAAAACCTAGTAAACTAAGAAGAGAGAGTAAGTAAGGAGATAGAACTTAAAGAGACCCTAGAGATTCTATACCTAGCTTAGGCCTATATAGACCCCTTTATAATAATCTAGCTACTAGATAATATAGGTAAAGGCTATACAAATTTAGGGCCTAATTAGGACCTACTAATAATAAGAAGAAAAGTATAGTTTAAAGAAGTAAAGAATAAAGAGCTTAAGGGAATAATGCGCCTAAGCCTAAACTAAATAGTAGCTACTTTTCTTAGGCAGGAAGTCTAGGAAATTGCAGTAGCTAACCTACTAGGGCAAGATTATCTATAGGAATAAATTAAGACGTTATTATCCGGAACCCTAGACTTAAATCCTATAGGCTAATAACTACTTGAGAGGGGTAAATATAGCAGAGCTAGGGGGCCTAGAAGGTGCGCTAGTCCTAAATAGGTATCCAAAGGGTGCGCTAATTTAACCCTTTAGATACGCGGCGGTGGATTTAGCCTCACCATCCACAATACGCTAGTCACCGCGCCAGCAGCGGAAGTAAGCACACTAGGAAGGCAGAGGGCGAATGGGCACTAAGAAGGCAACGTCAGCAGGGGCATAAACAATTAAGGGTGGAGCAAAGTTAAGGCGGTAGAATACTAGGAAGGCGCTATACTAAAACCCT